ATTTCCATTACCCATTCTTATTAAATGCTATCTATTAATGTTTTTTTTTTAAAATATCTCATGAATATATTGAGTCAAAATCATAGTAAGCAGATAATTTGATTAACTGTTTTGATTTAACATGGTAATGTGTCATTGGAATGTAAACTTACTTCTTAATTTAAGTTAAATTAAAATAAATCATGAATGCAAAATTGTTTAACTTATTTTCTTCTATTCCTTTGCCAACACAAACGCAAATTTTCTCCAATTCACTATGAAAATGTGAATATACCTGTTAATTTATTTTACAGAACAAATTTTGCCTTAATCTTTCCTAAGCATGTGATCCAGGACAATTCTGACCATGAATGAAAAAGAGGAAGACCAAAAAAAATAAATTAGAGGAGGAAAAGAAGAAGTAACCCCTATTGTCATATATTGGACACTGGCATTTACCAGTGTCCAATATAAGAACCAACGTAAGCTTTGGAATTGCAGAAAGTATTGTCTGGTCCATTCCAAATTCATCACAATAATTCATTATACTTCTGCTATAACACAACATTTGGATCACAGTTATTTAAGCATTTGTCACATTGCATGTTTAATGTAAAGTTTATTTGATAATTTTATCTACAAAGGGGTGTTTTTTAAAAATGCTTTATTAAAAATATATTTGAAAGCATAAAATGTTCTAAAACTAAAACTCTTATGGGGGCACAGAACATCCTTAGGAATGAAGTTATCAGATGACTAACAGGTTTCCAATAAGATTATTCTATTGGTGCCATAGCTGGTTTGTGGACAGAGAATTAGCCTGCAGACTGAAGGGTACCAGGTTCGATTCCAATCAAGGGCACGTGCCTGGGTTGCAGGCTCAATCCCCAGTAGGGCACGTGCAGGAAGCAGCTGATCAATGATTCTCTCTCATCATTGATGTTTCTCTCTCCCTCTCCCTTCCTCTATGATTACTCTATTGGAGTTGATATTACTTGTTAGAAGTCCATAAAGTTTGAGGTTAATGGTGAGCTCATATGGATCTTGGTTGAAACTCTATGGGCAGAGAAAATTCTTGGGCTCGGAAAAAGTTCTTAACAAGAGTGTGTAATGTGTAATTAAAGTTTCTAAAAAAGTACATGGAGCCAAAACCGGTTTGGCTCAGTGGATAGAGCGTCGGCCTGCGGACTGAAGGGTCCTAGGTTCGATTCCGGTCAAGGGCACGTACCTGGGTTGCGGGCACATCCCCAGTAGGAGGTGTGCAGGAGGCAGCTGATCGATGTTTCTCTCTCATCGATGTTTCTAGCTCTCTATCTCTCTCCCTTCCTTTCTGTAAAAAATCAATAAAATATATTTAAAAAGAAGTACATGGAAAGGGATGTGGAAGCAGGATGGATAGTGAAAAGAGTCAAGTTCAAAATCCATCTGATTTTGAAGCCCCATGGCATCAACTTCCTTATGCAATAAATTGTTAAGTCTACTGCAGATTTTCTCCATAAAAATATAGCCCAGATTATATTACAGAAGCATATGACTTTCTCATGTTGTACAGTGCAAATTGTACTACAGTAATGCCCCTGCCCTGTTTTTATTGAACTTAGTTTAAAAAACACATGGTGGCATTTTTTCCATTTTTTTACTTGAATAAATAAAATAGCAGAAGAATGACTAGAATCTAACCAGAGTCATCAAAAGAGGAGCAAACCAGTAGAAAACTACTCGTATCAGGCACTTTCTTGTATATCTTCTTATTTTAGCCTCCCAATCAAATTGGAAACAGGTAATCTCTTGACATATCAGAAAATTGAAAGTTAGAAAATTTTATTATAACACCTGGGTTCATGAACCTTTTAAGTTGGACCTGGAATGTGATCCCAGTTTCTTTGATTGTTTTAGTTACTATGATTATTTTATCATTGTGCTGCTTCTCCAATAGGAGGAAACTATTAGGATTGGTGATTGCTAATTTTTTTCTCTCTACCCCATTTCTGATTATGACAGTAAGTAACTAAAATAAACAATGCAGAATGTCTTGTGTTTATTTCTAAAAGTAAAAATTTTATTATTACTATAAATTTGTTTTGTTTGCTGATACACATAATCTGAGAGCCATTGGTTCTATAATTCCTACATTGTTTTGTCAAATGAGGCAAATGAGTATATGAACTCTAAAGCAGCTTGTTTTAATTCTCTCTTAGCTAATAATTCATATGTATAGTAGTAAAATTACTAATAAATCAGATACCAAATAAAATTCCTAAAGTTTTAATTCCAAGTTCTTAAGGAAATTTTTTAAATTGTCAAATCTCTCCCCTCTTCTCTCTCTCTCTCTCTCTCTCTCTCTCTCTCTCTTTTCCAGAATGAGTTCTAACACTAAAGGAGAGTATGGCTTAGAAAAATCCATCAAACATTTCATGTTAACTTAGAGGAAAACAAGTGTCTTGAGTCAAGTTTCCTGCAAGGGAGCCCGAAAGGGGCATTCTGATTCATGTGATTTACTGGAAAGTGCTCTCGGGAGGAGAGTAAGGAGAACAGGATTCTTGAGGGATACACAAGAACTTTTCTCTACTGAATTCTTTTTTTTTAATGTTTTGCATTTATTTTTATTTTTATTTTATTTTTTGAGGTCGGTGCATAGTTTTTTTTTTAATTGTTTCATTGCTTAAAGTATTACAAAGAGTATTACATATGTCTCCTTTTTTTGTTCCCGCCCTTGACAATCACCTGGCCTCCCCTACCCCCAGTGTCTTATATCCATTGGTTATGCTTATATGCATGCATACAAGTCCTTCGGAATTCTGATCCCACTAGAGCACAAATTGTATGTCAACATTAATCCCACCTTGAATCAATGCAACTGGCATTTTTACGGTGGTATCATTGGCTCCTGGGGGTCCTTCAGTGTTGAAGTGTGCATAACATCCTTGGGCAGGAAAGGTCAAGGGCAGTTGGGTGGAGACAAGGGCAGCTGAGCCATTAACCACACACACACCTAAGCCAACACTCAGGGTAACAGTTGGGGGATGGGTGCGCCAGCTGGTGAAGAGGATCTGGGCACCAACAGTGTCCACTATTCAAACAGTACCTCACTAAAAGAGCCTCTTGTCAGTCATTCCTGGTACAAAAGGAAATATGGGGAAATCCCTTTTTCCTGCACCAGTTTATTGATAATGGCAAATGAGAACACAACAACAGTGACACTTTTATTTTTTTTTAATGAGGTCAGGGGAAATGTCTACTACAAGGAATTTTGCACCTAGGTTACCTGAAACCAGGAAAGAATGATGTGATACTGGCAACTGATGGGTGGAGGACTGTCTTCGTTTGGTGGGCAGAGAAAACACTGTTTCCAATGCAATAAAGACTCGGATAGTGATCGCAGTCATTGAAACTTGTCCTTTTAAAAAGATGTCTTCTTGTGATATCCGTGAAAATCCTTTGCATAGGTACTTTACATCTATAATGAAAGGTACTTTTATGTTACTAAGGAAGAGACCCAACAGAATGGATTGTCATGGCTTCTTTGTCATAAAACATCACAGTTTTACAAAGTATTACTGAAAAACCTTCTGGACTTTACATTTTCTTTCATATACAACTTAACCATGAGGAGGAAAACTATCCTCATTACTTTTTCTGGTGGTTATTTTCATTTCTCTTTGGACTTTTGGCACGTACCTATCAAACACAAAAAATATAGTTCATATAAGGACACAGCCGACTCTTTCACCATTCCTTCGTTCGCTTGCACCCAGGAACCTGTCTTATAATTATGATTACTAGGTCATCTCTCCATTCCATGTGTAAGTATTTACAGAGTTCAAAAGTTATGACTAATAAACAGTCTCTTTGAAACTTAAAGGCTGAAAATTATTTGATATATACTTATAAAACCTAAATTGTGGGTTACATTATCAAACTAGGAAATGAGAACAATAAGAATCTTAGGTGTTTTCCAAAAGGTTGGGTAAGGACATCATTTTTTAAGGGAAGTATTAAGCAATCTTGCCCTGAATAGTTGCTAGGCTTAGGTGATACATTTTAATTGCCTAGTTTCTGGAAGTCTTCACTCAAGAATTTGATAAAACTGCTTCTCTTGTAGCGATTCTATCATTCCATCTCCACAGTCTAACACAGGGCCAGGCACACTTACATGCTTGCCTGTTTCTTGATTATGTTGTATAATAACTAAAATTATACATGTATGGATCAGGAGGCTTTATATTCATGTTTAATAATATATAAGTATTTTGTTATAAAATACTTGTTCTAAATTAGCCAAGCTGTTTTAGAAGAATCAAACACATTGCATCTCCCTTATTCCTTATTTACCCCATTTCTAGATTTCCTTTCTTCAACATGAGCTTAGCTATCTCTTGTCCCATCTCTTGTTTCTGTTAGTCATGATTTGTTCTTAGCCTGCAGGTGCCTTTTCCAGAACTGTTTGCTGTTGCTATCTTTGAAATATTTCCCCCTCTGACTAACACCTCCTGTAGCTTTTACCAGTATCTCAAGTTAACTTTCTAGTGAAACACAGTATTTTTCATCTAATGAATTCCTTCCCAAATTTATAAGGTAAAGCCTCATTCAATTGTGTGTGTGTGTGTGTGTGTGTGTGAACAAACAGAAGAAAGCTCTCTCCACATATTCATCTGTATTATGGTGCTTCTTGATTCATATTTCTTTCTTCGTTGTTTTAATTACTCAGGTCTGAGCTCTCAAACTCGATTGTAAACTTCATCGGAACACTTAAAATAGTATTCATCACAACAGGTGCTCAAACTATATTGAAGTGTTTAATTAAAGTTAAAATATTAATTCCCCAGTAGATTAACTCGATCAGTCTGCTACCACAATATGAGCTGAGATTTTGATTCTCCATCAATAATGCAAAATTATGGAAGAGAACACATGTTTAACCTGCCTATGTAGAAAGGGGAGACTTAGTTCTTGGTATCTGATATACACACTGAGGTGAATGAATACCAGATATAATCTTAGGAGGAAATGATTTCGCAGAGATGACCTTCTTTGGGAAACAGTCAAATCCTCAGTACTGTATTGTGGCTAAAGATGCTTCAGACTGTGAGGTTGAAAACTTCACATACAAGAAAATACTTTAAAAGTTTAAAGTACTGAATTAGAAGTTCATGATGAGTTATTTTATTGCTGGTATAATTTATGGATTTGAGCTTATTATTGTCATTATTCTTTGGCTATATTTGCAAATATGCCACCAAATGTCAAGAGATATGGAGCATACAATAAATTGCCAAGACCAGAGTCAACAGAGATGACATTTCTTAGAGGGGAACACGATCTGTCCCTCCATGGCTAACTGTAAAACCAGTAGATAGGTTACCTGACATGGAAGGTCAAAATAAGTCTCTTCCTTCCAAAACTAATATTTAGTAATCACATGGGGGGAAATGGATTTGCAGGCTCTCATGGAGGCAGAGCCCTTTGCCATGTACAGAGGAAGGATCACTCAATTACAAATAACGAGTCCTGAAATTCTTAGTATTTTCATTTAAGCAAAACTGGGATTTTTTCTTCTTATTTCATTTCTACTGTAGTAAACTCTATAAAGTAGAAGTGTAACATTATTTCCATTTATTCTAAAGTGAAAACAATATTCAACAAGATCATTAGAGACCCCATGTCAACAGACAGTTCCACATTACCTGACCAAGTGATTTTACTTTTTTACATTCACTTTCTCTCTTCTCAAATAATCTTGGGGGGAGGGGTTAAACTAAATGCCTCAATGGTCCTCATGATTATTAGGACGTATATAAATAATATCTCAGTGGAATCACCTTAGAACTCAGAGATAAGCCAATAGATGGAGGAGGAAGAAGAGGAGAAGGAGGATGAAGAGGAGGGTACTATGATAGCTGATCTTATTGAGCCCCTATTTTGTGCTCTGCCCTAAGTGCTTTATACCAAGTTACATCCTTTCATTTTAGCAACCTATCCTCTAAGGCAAAAATCATAATTATCCCATTTAAAAATTAGAAAAATGAAGCACAGAACTTTTTTCAAATCAGCTTCTAATTAATGTGGTTTCCCTATTGATAATAAGTTCTGTAATCAGCAAAGGGCTCAAATGACACAGTCTATTTCTATGTGAGGTGGCTCCACAACTATTTTTTGTGAGCATGTAAAAGTGATATTCTGGATGGGAGATGTAATTATGCATACTGCTGAGCAACAAACTCTTAAAATGAGTTCCTTTTAAGAATATTTATGGTTATAACATTTTGCTTACCATAAATATATATCTATCTATATATTTGTATAGACCCATTAGCCCCAAATGATCTCATATCTAACCATGCCAGACAGGTTTGGTAAGAACTAATAAGTACATGCAAACATCTTGCAATATTAGAGATCTAAGGAAAGAAATCTAGGCCAAATGTATCATATTTCAGGTAGTTATATACAATATAATTTTATTCAATAAGCTTTACTGACTTAGATATAAGAAAAGCAAAGATGGGCCAAGTTTCCTCTTTCCTTCAAATTTTCACACAAGGCATTTAAGTACATAATTTGTCTTCTTAATGAGCTGTAATTTTATTATGTGTACAATCTCACATATACTTTTAAAAACATTTTTTCTTCTTTAAAAATCACATTTTGTCATTCTCAACTAATTTTTTTTTAAATTGAGATGTAACTGCCATATAACATTGTGTAAGATTAAAATACACAACATATTTGATACATATATATTGCAATGTGATTGTGATTGTAGTGTTAGCTAACACCTTTGTTGAGTCACTTAATTATTTCTTCTAGTAATGGAAACAATTAAGATCTAGTCTCTTAGCTTAGTTTAATGTGTATAATACAGTTTTGTTGTCTAGAGTTACTGCGCCGTGTATTAGTTCTTCAGGACTTATTTATCTACTAGTTGAAAGTAGATATCCTTATACGACAACTCTTCCATTCCCATTCCTCAGCCCCCGATAACCACCATCCCACTCTTTGTTTTTTTTCAGACTCAGTTTTATTTAGATTCCACATATCATACAGAATTTGTCTTTCTCTGTCTGACTTATCTCACTTAGCATAATGCCTTCAAGGTCCATACATGTTGTTGCAAATTACAGGATTTTCTCTTTGAGTAATATTCCACTGGGTAATATTCCACTGAGTAATATTCCACTGGACATACATACCCATCTTTTTTATCCACTCTTCTATTGATGAACAAGTCTTGGCTGTTGTCAACAATGCTGCAGTAAACATGAGAGTGCGTGTATCTCTTCAATGACCTGTTTTCATTTTGTTTGGATGCATACCCAGAAGTGGGTTTCCTGGATTGTGTGGTAGTTCTATTTCCAATGTTTTGAGAAACCTCCAGACTGGTCTCCATAGTGGCAAAACCAGTTTGCAATCCTACCCACAGGGTAGCACATCTTCACCAACACTTGTTATTTTTTGTCTTTTTGGTAATAGCTATTCTAAAAAGTATAAGGAAGATACTTCACTGTCCTTTTGATTTCATTTTCCTGGTGATTAGCAAAGTTGAGTACCTTTTCATGTATCGTTGACCACATGGATGTCTTCTTTAGAACAATGTCAAGTTAGCTTATCTGCCCAATTTTTAATTGGATTATTGGGGTTTTTTTTGTTATTGACTTGTATGGGTTATTTATCACTTTAGGATAATAACCCTTATGAAATACATGGTTAGCAAATGTTTTCTTCAATTCCATAGGTTGTGTTTTCATGAAAGATTGTTTCCTTTGCAGTGCAAAAACTTTTACATTTGATGTAATCTTGCTTGTTGAATTTTGCTTTTGTGTTGTTGGTGATTTTGACCAGCATCAATGTAAAGGAGCTTTGTTCCTACGTTTTCTCCTAGGAGTTTTACAATTTCAAATCTTATGTTTAAGTCATTGCTCCATTTTGAATTAATTTTTGTGAGTAGTGTAAGATAAGGCTCCAATTTCATTTCTCTGTGTGTGTTATCTACTTTTTCCAACCCTATTTGTTGCAAAAACTATCCATTCTCCATTGGTGCTCTTGGCCCTCTCATCAAATATTTGTTGAATGTATATGTTGAATGGATTAATTCTGGGCTCTCTATTCTGTTCCATTGGTCTATATGTCTATTTTTATGGCAGTGCCATACTGTTTTAATTACAATAGCTTTGTAGTATAACTTAAAATGGGAAACTGTGATGCCTCTGACTGTGTTTTTCTATTTTTCTTTTCCTTTTGTAAATTGTATCCCTTCCTTTTCATTTCCTGCTATGCTACCTCCCTGAATTGTGCTTTCCTACATGCATCATGGTAGTTGAATGTTCAACTTCATTTACCTGATGTTTTGATCTGCTGTTGAGAGACTGCTATAAATTCCTAATACTAGACTGTCCAACTATCTCCTGGGCTATGTTCTTCTATCTCATTATTGCTTTAGCTATTCAGGGTCTGTTGTGGCTCCATACAAATTTTAGGATTGCTTTTTCTATTTGGGATAACAAAGTCATTAGGATTCTGATAGGGATTGCATTGAATCTATTATGTTTCACAGCTGATACCGAGGTTTATCAGTATCTTGCCAGCTGCACTGGTAGGTGAAATTCCTCACAGGACTTTTGGAGTAAAATACTAGACCCCCAAATACCCATAATACTCTTTTGTTCAAGTCTGGATGTCTAATCTTGATTAAAAAGGGGGATATAAAGGAGAAACATCTGTGCTGCCCTGTTGCTATCACTCTCTCTGTGGTAGGCAGTAAAGACCTGAGCAGAGCAAGGATGATGGGCCAGATAAAGAAGGTCACCCGGGAGGAAAGCCCTGGGTACCTAGCAAAGGAGGATTGATTGCAGGGTGGGACCTTGCCCCCAGGGTGACCCTTCCTCCCCTAGAATATCACTGGTCATGAGGTTTAGACCCCCTGACCTTTCCTCCTTAGAGATGACATCTAGGCCTCAGTTATATTTCAGGTCCAGGCCCAGAAAAGCAACAAAGCAGACATGGCTGACTTCAGGATCAACAGCATTGAATAATGACCCCTGCTCTGGTGCCGACCAACCAATCAGTGGAGACCTAGACCCTGAAAGTATACACCTGGAAAGCTGTGAATTAAGATTTTCCCCTGTGACCTCCCCTGAAATCTTCATCCTTAAAACCTTAGGACAAAGGATTCAGTGCACTCTCCCTCCCCTGGGAGCACACCCAAGCTTTTCCCTTCCCTTCCCTTCCCTCTCCCTTCCCTTCTCACCCCTGCCCCAGGTGCATTGCCATTACCTGCCTCACTCCCAAGCTCCAAGGGCCCTTCCATTATACCTATAACTTGTTTCCTAAGCCCATTCCTACAAATTGCTACCTGTGATTTACCCAACAAATGTTCTCTTATAGTTGGAGTCTTGGCTCTGAATTCTTTCCTAGCCAGAACTCAAGTACCAAGGTCCAGTCTGACCCCACTGGTCCGACACCAGGTGCCCTTCCCGCCACCTACAACACTTCCACATTCACTTCTTTATATTCTCTGTAGTATCTTACTTTGTCCAGTGTTATTAGCAAATCAATTAAAATTAGCAAAATATAATGATAACAATCATTAAGTGCTTATAGCATTGCAAGCACTGGGTGTTTTAAATGAAAGAAGTTATTTAATAATAATTTCAACAGTTCATGGTTATTAATATTACCCATTTTACAGATGAGGACATTGAGGCTTAAAGAGGATGCTTAAGTTTTCTCAGTGAGTGGTGAAGCTGGGCTATGAACAAGAGTTGCTTGCTCCAAAGCCCACCCCCTAAAACACTATGTGGCTACTTTTCCAATTTACATTAGCACAATCGGAAAGCATGAGGAATTAACAGTAATTAGAACAAATTTATTACTTTTAAGGCTATTTTTTCCCTTTTGATATATTTGGGAGATATTTTACTAAATAATGACATTATATTTCTAAAAATTTACTTGAACATTTTATTTTGATATTGTGGCATTTGATAATAAAAGTAGGTAAATTAATTTTCTGTTAATTATATCTCCTATTAGAGAGTATAATTAATTTTAATAATGGAAGATAGTGTTGGATTTTGTAACATGTATTATATAA